TATATGTTGCTTTTGTCTTTTAACCATGTTCAAAATATAGTTTTTTTTTTAACATAGATTAGCCTAGCACATAGCATAACTAAGTACAGAAAAGGAGACAGCTGACTGGTTCTCAGGCTTGCTCAACTGCTGTTGCAGCACAGAGTAAAGTGCATGGCAAATCATGGGACTTTTGAGCCATGAAGCAGCATGAAAAACATCAGCATCCTTAGAGGAGTCATTGTAGTGTATAGAAGCTCAAGGGTGTTTTAGCAGGGCCACGTTTGAACCTGGGAATTGTTAGTTTAAAGACATCTGGGTATGGTGTTTAAATATTTACAGTTATAATTAAGCTCTATTCAAGAACCAGTTTGTTGGCATAAATCTTCACTTAGTAAACACTTACACTATATCTAGGCCATGCTGAACAAATGAACAGCTGGTGCAACCTGCTGCAGCTCGCCGTTAGATGAATTGTGTTCAGTTCTTATCAGTGTATTAATGCACACAGAGCACTGTGAGGCTGCAGCTTTAGGCTGTAACCTCCCAGAGCCAAACACTACATCCATTAGTCTGCTTCTTTACAGTGATTGTAACTGGTGCAGTCACCTCTGGCTTGGTCTGTGTGCTCACACACATGCAAACACATGCACAAAAGCCATCTCTTTCAGGGTGTAGTCTGTGCTGGCTTTGGAAATGTGCTGATGCTGCTTTAGAAAAGGCTGTGGTGGCCCAGTATGGTTTCTAAAGAGCAGGCCCAGACTATCTATCTGCTGTTCCCAGGCATGACCACACCAGGACCAAAACACACTGCTCCCAGGGGTCGTTGAACCACTATGCTAAAATTAAGTGAAAAATAAAACTCATAGCTTAATTCCGTCCTTTGATGACAAACTGTGCTACCACCACTCTCAGAACAAGTGACCCTTGAAATCCATCAAAGGACAAGAGCAATCCATCTACAACTACATATGATTCAGCCCAGCTTCAAGAAACACAAGATGTTCTACTAGCTGTCCTGGCACATCCGTAGACAAATTGATTTGTAAAAACAATGTTAAATGGAAAAATCAATTTTACAAAGAATCATGTTGGAATACATTCACTGTATTGTATCTTTGACATGGTACAGTGCTGCTGTGTGTCAAAAACAGGCCTGCAGCGATCTCTCTCTTCTCTCTCTCTCTCTCTCTCTCTCTCAATTCCTTTAACTTCCTCTCTCTGGCTCATTTGTCTCAATGTAATCATCAGTCAGTCAGTCATGAAATTTATCTGCAACACTGAGCATAACATGCGTTGGTTGAAATGTCCAGCCAGTTGTACCAGCTGCTGGAAAATTCAAACGTGGCCTGATTTATAATGTAAGTGGAAATGTCATCGCCAAATTAAAATAGGTTGCCCCACACAAATTAGTTTTTTTGTTGAGATTAACTGTTGCTAACTAGTTACACAAAGCGGAAACCTCCAAGGCTAAAAAATGAAGCCAACGCTGTCTCGGAAACTGCAGTTCTTCTAACGGACGCTTGAGTATGGCTCCAAAAGTGAGTCAGTCTCCTTAAGCTCCTGTATTAAAATGCCCAACTTTACACTAGAGATAAACATTACAGCCCGGTACAAAAAACGGTGCGTTTCGGTCTCTATAGCTAATTTTTGTATATCTCACCGGTTTAAATTAAAGTTTAGTTTTAAATATTAAGGCTTAAAGTTATGCATAAGTAAGGACATGGCCACTTTGAGTTACAGGTGGGTTATTTTCAGTAACCAGCCCGCCTCCACCCACGCTTAACCTCTTTACCCATTTTTAAATTAGCCCGGAGCCGGCGTGGTCAGTGTACTTTGTGGCCAACGGATTTTAGTTTTGGAATGAGAGAACCAAAATCGGAAAATGAGCTGTTTCTCGATTACCATTTATATATAGGGAAACACATATTTAAAATATTTCCAAAAAATTGGTAGTTTTTTCATTTTCCATTTTTATTCAAAAAATACCAAAACAATGAGAAATAGTTCATTTTTTTGTTTTTATTTTGAAAACAGAAAACTGGAAAACAGTACTGCTAAGATGGCGACGGCCAGAGCCGTCCACACTGGGCGTTACAATGGTTCTTCAGAAACCTGTGGGGGACTGAACCAACTGACAAAACTAACATTTGCTTGATTAACTGTCACCCATTCCGATAAAAAAAATGAAAGAAGTGGTAGCGTTAGACCAAATGAGCAAAAAGTGTCTGTTAGTTTATCATAATTTCGAATTCTTTACTCTCGAACAGATATATTTCCACATGCATGCTTATGTAAAAAATCAAGACATGCGTCATATACAGAGTTAGGTTAATGTTTTCTTTCAGCCACTCAAAGTCTTTACAAACTAAGACATTCCTAAAGTTTTAATGGTGCAGCCCGATTTTATAAATCTAATGGTTTGAAATTAGTCAGTTGAAATTTGGAAGAACTTCACACAAAATCTTTCACAGTTTGTATGAATAGCTG